CTCCTCACTGTCCGAATCTGCTGCCAGCTCCACTGGCGGGCCACAACAAAAAGGTCACGTCACCTTTTTCATCAAGGACTACCTGTATAGGTATTTACATATACACCTGTATTTATGATGTATTTATGACAGGTGGTTCCTCGACTTAAAACAGCTTGCTGAGTGATGGTTCAAAGTTACAAGGCCACTGAAAAAAGCGACTTCTGACCATTGCTCACACTTATGACCATTGCAGCATCCTCAGGGTCACGTGTTACTACCAACTGAAGAGCCGAAGTGGTTCACTTAATACAGTGTTTCTCAACCTTGGCAACTTGAAGATGTCCGGACTTCCAACACCCAGAATTCCCCAGCCAGCGTTCGCTGGCTGGGGAATTCTGGGAGTTGAAGTCCGGACATCTTCAAGTTGCCAAGGTTGAGAAACACTGACTTAATAAATGCCTCAAGAAAAGTTGTCAAAACAGGGGCAAAACTCACTGTTTCACTTAGCGACACGCATTTTAGGCTCCACTGTGGCTGTTAAGGCGAGGACTCCCTGCAAGTAGGAAATCAAAGGCAGTTTCTTACTTGAACGAAACGTAGAACTGATGGAGGGGAAGCTTGGCCAGTCCCAGGAGCCGGTCCCCTCCGGGGCTGAGTACCTTATTCCACACCTCGATCACCATCAGGTTATTCTTCAGACGCTCCAGATGTTTCGATGTCAACGCAACCGGAGTGATCTGGAGGGTGGATTGGGCCGTTAGTGGAGCGGCTGGCATATCCCAAGCAGGGGTCGTATTCACTTACTTTGCCTAAAAGTTAAGCTTCCCCTCGCACATCTGTGCTAGTCGTTCCCGAGTCTAGGGGGCGGTGCTCATCTCCGTTTCAAAGCCGAAGAGCCAGCGCTGTCCGAAGACGTCTCCGTGGTCATGTGGCTGGCATGACACAACGCCGAAGGTGCACAGAAACGCTGTTCCCTTCCCACCAAAGGTGATTCCTATTTTTCTACTTGCATTTTTCACGTGCTTTCGAACTGCTAGGTTGGCAGAAGCTGGGACAAGTCACGGGGTCTCACTCCGTTACGCGGCGCTGGGGATTCGAACCGCCAAACTGCCGACCTTTCTGATTGACAAGCTCAGCGTCTTAGCTACTGAGCCACCGCGTCCCTTACTTTCCCTGCCGGTTTGCAAATGTGAGGATGCACATGTGCTCACATGACCCCCATCCACGCATGCGCTCGGCCTTCCACACATGCACTTGGTGTGTGCGGCTTGCTCACATGCATGCGGCTGGTGCGAAAACGTGCCTAAAAAAGACGGCACAGAGCCGGGAGAGCCACCCACCCACGATTTCCACTAAATCCACTAAATGTGTATGTATGTATGTATTGTGTCACAACCCCTGGTATGCCCAAATATGGGAGGGAGCATACTGCTTCCCTTTTCTGTCTTTCGGCTCACCCTAGGAGCCATCCAGGCAGAAAGCCTTTTTTTTTAATGTCGCCTTTGTCTTTATTTATTTATCAGCACAAATGCAACATACACACACACACACACACAAACACAAACACACATATTGAGAGAGAGAGAGAGAGAGAGAGAGAGAGAGAGAGAGAGAGAGAGNTTTTGTCACATGGTTGTTGAGTGAATCACTGAAGTTCTTAATTTTGTCACATGGTTGTTGAGTGAATCACTGAAGTTCTTAATTTTGTCACACGGTTGTTGAGTGAATCACTGACGTTCTTAAGTTTGTCACACGGTTGTTAAGCAAATCACTGACATTCTTAATTTAGTCACATGGTTGTTGAGTGAATCACTGACGTTCCTAAGTTTGTCACACGGTTGTTGAGTGAATCACTGACGTTCTTAAGTTTGTCACACGGTTGTTAAGCGAATCACTGAAGTTCTTAAGTTTGTCTCACGGTTGTTAAGTGAATCTGGCTTTCCCCATTGACTTTGCTTGTCAGTAGGTCGCGAAAGAGGAATCACCTCAAACCTCAAACCTCACGTGACCCTGGGACACTGCGACCGTCATAAATATGAATCAGTTCCCAAGTGTCTGAATTTTGATCACGTGATCGTGGGGATGCCCACAATCATCATTAGTGTGAAAAATGGTCGTAAGTCACTTTTTTCACTCCCATTGTAACTTTGAATGGTCACTAAATGAACTGTTGTAAGTTGAGGACTACTTGTGTGGTGTTATAAACCAGGATGCCTTCCTTCAGCTCGCGATGTTGGGTTTTCTGTGTTCACTTTCCTTTAAAAATGATTTATTGCAATTTTTTTTAAAATCAGATAAAACAGAACTAAGAAAAAGCTTTAAAAAACCATTTTTGAAAGCCCATGCAGATGCCTTACAGATAATATAATTCAGCATAAATATTAAAATTATGAGGTTTATTACTAAAATAAAACAGAAAACAACCCTCCCAAGAATAAATATATTAATTGCCTGCATGTGCCTCTCATATAGATAACATATATATATATAAAACAATGGTTTATTCTTGTACAATATTATAGAATCTATACTATACCAAAGGGAAACGTTCGTTGTGTCATATTTTGATTGGCAGGACAAAAAAATAGCCTTTTTAATCATTGATATATTACAGGTAGTCCTCGACTTACGACCACAATTGAAAACCAACTTTTCTCTTGCTCATCCAAACAATGGTGATGCGAATTTTGCCCCATTTTTACAACCTTCCTTGCCACAGTTGTTAAGTGAGTCACATGGTTGCTAAGTGAAACCGACTTCCCTATTTGACTTTGCTTGTCAAAAGGTTGCAAAACAATGACAAGTCACTTTTTTCAGGGGCGTCGTAAGTCGAGGACTACCTTTTAAAGATTTCTTCAGTCCTCACCTTAACGTCCGAACTGAGATTTCCTCGGTTACAATCCTAAAATTCTCTTCCTGGGTCATAACAAAGTCACATTCTTCTCTTTAATAGGAAAAGTTTTTTTTTCTCCTGGACTGTAAAAATAGATAATGACTATTTCTACTCTTCAAGTGTACTTTCCATTACACAAAAAGCACTATTAATAAAAACAGGGGAAAAAAGAGACGTATTTCTGATTTGTGTTTCATTGCTGTGTTCGAATCATGGTGTGTTGTGGCCCCTCCAGCAGCTGAATTGGAGGAGAGAGAGGGGGGGAGGGAGGGAGGGAGGGAGAGGGAGAGAGAGGGAGAGAGGGAGAGAAGGAGAGAGAGAGAGAAGGAGAGAGAGAGAGAAGGAGAGAGAGAGAGAAGGAGAGGGAGAAGGAGAGAGAAGGAGAGAGAGAGGAGAGAGAGAGAGGAGAGAGAGAGAAGGAGAGAGAGAGAGAGAAGGAGAGAGAAAAAGGAGAGAGAGAAGGAAGGAGAGAGGGAGAAGGAAGGAGAGAGGAGAGAGAGAGAGAAGGAGAGAGAGAAAGAAGGAGAGAGAGAGAAGGAGAGAGAGAGGAGAGAGGAGAGAGAGAGAGAGGAGAGAGAAGGAGAGAGAAAGAGGAGAGAGAGAAGGAAGGAGAGAGGGAGAGAGAGAGAGAAGGAGAGAGAGAGAAGGAGAGAGAGAGAGAAGGAGAGAGAGAGAGGAGAGAGAGAGAGAGAAGGAGAGAGAGAAAGAGAGAGAGAAGAAGAGAGAGAAGGAGAGAGAGAGAAGGAGAGAGAGAATCTATGNAGAAGGGGCAAGCTAATTTCCAAAGCACCTGATGGCAGGGCAAGCAATGGGTGGAAACTAACCAAGGAGAGAAACAACTTAGAATTAAGAAGAAACTTCCTGGCAGTGAGAACAATTAATCAGTGGAACAAACTTGCCTCCAAAAGTTGTGGGTGCTTTAACACTGGAGACTTTTAAAAAAGAGACTGGACAGCTATTTGTCTGAAATGATGTAGGTGTCCGGATTCCAAACAGCATCCAAAAATTAAATCAGAGTCCGAGGCAAAGGATTCCTCAAAGTTCCAATTTATGAAGACAGCCATGTTGGCACATCTGGGGAAACCTCAATCTGAAAGCTTTCTGGTTTTCCCCACCCAGTTGAAAGTTCAAGATCTTGCCCCCCACACCCGTAAGTCCATCACATGGTTCAATCTCCCACTGCCACGGAGACAGGAGCAATGTAGAACTAAGGAGAAACTTCCTGACAGTGAGAACAATTAACCAGTGGAACAACTTCCCACCAGAAGTTGTGAATGCTCCAACACTGGAAGTCTTTAAGATGACCATTTGTCTGGAATGATGTAGCATCTCCTGCTGGAGCAGGGGGTTGGACTAGAAGACCTCCAAGGTCCCTTCCAACTCTGCTATTCTGTCAAGCGTGCTCTTGCTTGGGGAACGGTTGTTAAGCCAGGTTGTTAAGGCAGCCGATATCAAGAGACTTAGCTCGGGGGGGATGATCCCTCCCTGGAAAACGAGACACCCAGAGGAAATCCCCTCGGGCTCCTTACTTCCCCAAGCCAGGTTGCTTAGCATCACCGGGGTACCAGCCAGCGAGTGAAGAAGGCGCGGGAGAACATTTCCTTTTGCCTGCCTCAGACGCCTCCGTCGCTCGTCAAACCTTGCCGAATCTCCCCCGAAGGACGAAGCGCGATGGGTTCCGAGGCAGCCGAGTTGGAGCTGCCTTTGGTCCAAGATGTCCAGCTGACCGAGGTGATGAGGATCCGCGGGAAGACCCTCCGGGAGAAGAATGAGAAACCTCAAGACGGCGAGAAGCTCCTTCAAGCCAACGAATTCGTCTTCCGTCTGCACTTCACCCATCAGCGTGACCTCTGTTTCCTGAGCTGGAAAGTTATCTTGGACCAGCCTGGAAAGGCCACCATTATCGGGACCTCTCAGCACTGGACGCCGGACTTGACCAACCTCATGAGAAGGCAACTCTTGGATCCGCCGGCGGTGTTTTGGAAGAAGCCGGACGCGCCCGAGGTGGTGGATTGCAACGAAGCGGATGCCCTGGAGTTCGGAGAAAGATTGGTGGAGCTGGCCAAGATCCGGAAAGTGATGTATTTCTTGGTGGCCTTCACCGACGGCCTCGAGCCGGCTCACCTGAAATGCTCCGTGATATTCAACATCTGAATTCTCTCCTCGACGGCTTTCTCCTCCTCTGAAATAGTCTTCTGTTTTGTTTCGGGCTCTGCAACCTCTAACTTGTGACTTCGTTTTGAACCGCTTTGAAACGCAGAATTGACGTCGCCCTTCATCCTCCCTCGCTAGGCTGGGAAATTTGCTGTTTGAAAGCCTGGAAGGCTTTCTCCAGAAGCTTTTATTTTTATTTTTAAATTCGACGTGTATTCGTCTCACCGTCGCCTCGCCAAACATAAACTCAACTTGTGCAGAAGGCGTCTCTGAAATATGGAGCGTTTCCCCACCGCACTCAAGACCCCACCCAGAAAAGGGGATTAAGACCCATGGACTGTGTCAGAGGCCTACCTAGCAGGGCTGGGTGTGGAAAAAAACAAACCCCAGGCATATCCTGACATTCCTTTGGTCCGATTTATTGGAGTAATTTGCACGCTTCTCAAAAAGGGCAGCATCGCCCGAATCCAGGCACCGGATCATTTTAAACTTTCTTTTTTTTTCTTCCAAAGTAAGCCCTAATTTTCACGGAGGCTGAGAAAAAACGGTAGCTTTTTCTTAATCGAAAGTTCTCCTAACTTGTTTTACGTTCTCCGGTGGTACCAACCCCCCACCGCCCATTAGAGCACAAGCACGCAAGTGTTTAAACAGGTGCCCACCCTTCTTTTTCACGCTTTGGCAAAAATTGGCACCATTTTTTATAAAACTGGGAACTGACGAAAGGAGGGTCCGTAACTAAATTTGGATTCCAAACTTCAGGATCTCGAGATCATGTCTGTCTTCTTGTTTGCTTTTCCAGGAAAATAAAAAGAAATTAGTGCCTTGCTGCACCGTGAATTAAATTTCTTTAAATAAAAAGCAGTGGGGTGTTTTTTTCCCCCGACCCCTTTGTGCAAAATCTGAGCTCTGAAAGAAGCTTTTAAAACTTTTTCTGCTTGGTTGAACCGGAGGTTGAATGAAAAAGCTCAACACAATCTTTTTTTTGCTGGATGGGAAAAATCTTTTTTCGCTCGGAGGCACCCAAAATTGGCTGGTTTGCTAGAGCCACTTCGAATCCAGAATAAAGAATAAACGTAGTTGGAAGAGACCTTGGAGATCTTCTAGTTCTAGGATCGCATGAAGTATTAGTACCGCTTTATAAAACCTTAGTAAGGACACACACACACACCCCAACCTGGACCTACTGGATCCAGTTTTCGCCACCACGTTACAAAAAAGGACGTTGAGATTCTGATAGAAGTACAAAGAAGACTCAACGAAGAGGATTAGGGGACTGGAGGCTAAAGCCTATGAAGAATGCTTGGAGGAACTGAGTATGTCTACTTTAATGAAATTAAGGGTGACACGATCACAGTATTCCAGTATTTGAGGGGCTGCCCCCAAAGAAGAGGGGGTCAAGTTATTTTTCAGAGCCCCGGAAGGCAGGACAAGAAGCAAAGGATGGAAACTAATGAAGGAGAGAAGCAATTTGGAAACCAATTAACCAGTGGAACAGCTTGCCACCAGAAGTTGTGGCTGCTCCATCACTGAACTATGACTCAATCAATCAGAATAGAGTTGGAAGGGACCTTGGAGGTCTTCTAGTCCAACCCCCTGCTCGAGCAGGGGGTTGGACTAGAAGACCTCCAAGGTCCCTTCCNACTGTACTGCCCTTAAAATGGCTTCTACTGTACAAGCACAGTGGAGTTGCCATGGTAATGGCTTCACAGTACTCCACAAGGGGGCTCCCTCTGGTGAGAGGGAAAATCCAACATAAGAAATTATGTTTGGTCCGGACATTTCCCCCCTTATAAATAAATACTCAAGAGAACACCGGGTTATCAACTAGAATTAAATATATGTTCCCTTTGTCATATTTTCCTGGCAATATATATAACAAAAATATTTCTGGCTTTAAACCTATGGGTTGCTTTATCATTTTCTCTAAACATTTATGTATTTTCATCCAGAAATGTTGGAAATGCAATTGGATAATGGGCACATACCATCATATGCAGTGGAGATGCCCGAAGGCAAAAAAAAAATTCTGGACTACCTGTGTTTCTTTAAACGCTCTTTCTCTTGCCTGTTCCCTTCAATTCCACCAGGTAATTCCCGATTGGAAAGAGCAAGAATGGTCCTCGGAGAAGCCGCAAAATTACGCCGGGATTTTCCATTTCCAATTCTGGCGTTTTGGCCGCTGGATCGACGTGGTGATCGACGACCGCCTGCCAACCCTCCACAATCAACTCATCTACTGCCATTCCAACTCCAAGAACGAGTTGTGGTGCGCTTTGGTGGAAAAAGCGTACGCGAAGTAAGGAAACCCTGGGGATTGCGTATCCTACCCGCTTTCCCTGACCTGGGGGGGGTCCCACAGATCCTATGTGGAATCTATATGGGATGGGATGCCACAGATCCTATCTGGCAAAAGGCAGTTAGTCTTTCAAATCTCCAGAACTGTAAAGTCTACAAACTTGAAATTTGGCACATGTGTTCCTCTTGGCTTCTAGGTGCTCGCTAAGAAAGGATTTTTCAAAATGACCATCCGATCATCATTATTTCTTATAAGTATTATATTAACGCGGGTCGATGCTAAGGAGTTAGACATTCTACTCCTCCTCCCCACNAAGACCTCCAAGGTCCCTTCCAACTCTATTCTGATTGATTGATTCATAGTTCAACCCCCTTATGTCCTTTTTCTTTTTTTCTTTTGCCCCTCTGAATTTGGCCAAGGACTTTCGATGGCTCTTCCTTTCCACCCAAACTTTGGGGAGCCCTTCCAGACCGGGAGGGTCACGAAGTGGGATCGAATGCCGGAATCCATTGGAGTTTGTTTTTCTGGGACTTGAAGAGGTTTTCTCCCCATGAGCACGTTCTCAAGCTTTAGCACTGATGATGTTACCTCCTCGGATCATGAGACGTCTGCAAGAAAGCCACTAAGCTGGGACCACCGAGGACTCCCAAGTTCTCTTTGTCAGCAGAGTGTTAACAAAACCGGAAGGGGGTGTTGTGTTCTCCTTGTGTGCTAAGATTGTGGCTGCGGGAATAAGCCTTGCGATGTCCAGTTGGATCCTTAGCAGCTTAAGAGGACATTGAATGGAAAGGAGAGAAGTGAGGGAGAGAGAGAGAGAGAAAGAGAGAGAGAGAGAGAGAGAAATGGAAAAGAAGAGAGAGAGAAGAGAGGGAGGGGGGAGGGAGAGAGAGAGAAAAGATAATTTGGGTGTGTAGTTGTGTGTCTAGGGAGTGGTGTGGTGTCCTAGAGGCGGAGCTCTTGCCTCACAATCAGGAGGCTGTGAGTTCAATCCTAGGCAGAGGCAGAGATTTCTCAGATACATGAGAATGTATCTGCTGTACAAAACTCCGCATTGGCGACAGGGAAAGGCATCCGGCCAGGAAACACTCAGCTCCATTCAGTTGCCCTGATTCCACCCCGCAAGGGATTATGGGTCGTTCAAAGAAGACATTGTGTGTCTAAGGGTATAGGGTTGTTTGAAACATTCATCCCTTCCAGAAAATTGCTGAGTTGTTACCTTGGAGTCGATGGAATCCAACATACTGGGGAATTGCTGGGAGCCAGGAGCTGTTGGTGGGTATTCCTTTGCGTGTGGCCCTCTACTTAAAATTACGGGTCCTCGACTTACGACCGCAAGCAAGGTGGTTGTTAATTGAGTCAGGACTGATTTTACACTGTATGTTGCCATGATCATTCGCCTTCCCTTCCCCGGCCGTCTATTTTTTTCTTCCTTCCTTCCTCCTTTCCTTCTTTTCCTCCCTGCCCACCCTCCCTCCCTTCCTTCCTTCAATGCCCCTTCTCCTGCCCTCTATTTTTCTTCCTTCCTTCCTCCCTTCCTTCCCTCCCTTTCTTCGATCCCTTGCCCCATATCTTTCTTTCCTTCCTTCCTCCCTCCCTCCCTTCCTTCAATCCCCCTTCCCCTGCCCTATCTTTCCTTCCTTCCTTCCTCCCTCCCTCCCTTCCATCCCCTGCCCCATATCTTTCTTTCTTTCTTTCCTTCCTTCCCCCTTCCTTCAATCCCCCTTCCCCTGCCCTATCTTTCCTTCCTTCCTTCCCTCCCTCCCTTCGATTTCTTGCCCTTTAGCTTTCTTTTCTTCCTCCCTCCCTCCCTCCCATCCCCTGCCCCATATCTTTCTTTCCTTCTTTCCTCCCTCCCTCCCTCCCTTTGATCCTCCTTCCCCTGCCCTCTATTTTTCTTCCTTCCTCCCTCCTTTCCTTCCTCCCTTCCCTCCCTTTCTTCAACCCCTTGCCCTATATCTTTCTTTCCTTCTTTCCTTTCTCCCTCCCTTCCTCCAATCCCCCTTCCCCTGCCCTATCTTTCCTTCCTTCCTTCCTTCCTTCCCTCCCTCCAATCTCCTGCCCTATAGTTTTCTTTTCTTCTTTCCTCCCTCCCTCCCTTCCTTCAATCCCCCTTCCCTTGCCCTATCTTTTCTTCCCTCCCTCCAATTTCCTGCTCTATAGCTTTCTTTTCTTCTTTCCTTCCTCTCTCCCTCCCTCCCTTCCTTCAATCCCCCTTCCCCTGCCCTATCTTTCCTTCCTTCCTTCCCTCCCTCCCTCCGATTTCCTGCCCTATAGCTTTCTTTTCTTCTTTCCTTCCTCCCTCCCTTCGATCCCCTGCCCCATATCTTTCTTTCCTTCCTTCCTCCATCTCTCCCTCCCTTCCTTCGATCCCCCTTCACTGCCCTATCTTTCCTTCCTTCCCTCCCTCCGATCTCCTGCCCTCTAGTTTTCTTTTCTTCTTTCCTTCCTTCCATTCCTCCTTCCATTCCCCCCTCCATCCCTCCCTCCATCCCCCCTCTCTCTCATGGTGCTAAGACCTGAGATTCTCCTGTCCATGCTATTCCCAAAACCGAACTTTTTTCAAGATACAAAGCGACGTCTCCCTTAGGAGAAAAGTCCAGCTTGAAAGCGTGGGACATTTCAGTTGTTGGAGTGGTGAGGAAAGCTTTTTATTTTTAAATGCAAATTACTCTGGCTTTTTAAAGGAAAGGTTTAGGGAAACAGTATTAATGGCTGCTTGCAGTGTTTCTCCCCCTTGGCAACTGGAAGACGCGTAGGGGAATCCTGGGAGTTGAAGCCCACCCCTCTTAAAAGTGGCCTAGATTGAGAAACACGGCTTTAGATACTTTGAAGAAGCAAATAATCACTCGGCTTCAGTTCCTAGACTTCGCAGAAGAACCACTTGGGCTAGTCCAGTTTGACCAGTTGAACCAGTTGAAATCAAAGCTTTCCCAGCAGATGACGGATTTCCTCTTACAGAATTGATAACTGAAACGATCCCAAAATTCCTAGACTTTTTTTTAATTTATTTAAAAGAAAATTGGTTAGAGAAATTATAAGTGAGTTTCTCTCTACATGTTTACACCAGTTGTGGCAAGCTTTCTTAGTTTGCTCTATCCAATATCCTCTGCGTTTCTGTCTTTCTTCCACGTGGCCAGAGGGGGGAAAAATAGTGCCGCCTCTAGCAAGATTAACACTACAGGTAGTCCTCGACTTCCGACCAGAATTGAGCCCAACATTTCTGCTGTTAAGTGAAGACATTAGTAAAGTGGATTTTGCCTCATTTTATAATCTTTCCTGCCACAGTTGTTAAGTGAGTCACATTTGTTAAGTGAATCAGGTTTCACTTCAACAGCATTTCTGTTGTTAAGTGAAGACGTTAGTAAAGTGGATTTTGCCTCATTTTACAATCTTTCCTGCCACAGTTGTTAAGTGAGTCACATTTGTTAAGTGAATCAGGTGTCACTTCAACAGCATTTCTGTTGTTAAGTGAAACATTTGTTAAGTGAATTTTGCCCCATTTTGACTTTTCTTGCCACGGTTGTTGAGTGAATCACTGACGTTCTTAAGTTTGTCACACGGTTGTTAAGCAAATCACTGAAGTTCTTAATTTTGTCACATGGTTGTTGAGTGAATCACTGAAGTTCTTAATTTTGTCACACGG